GGCGGGGCGTGGCGGGGCGTGGCGGGGCGTGGCGGGGCGTGGCGGGGTCGGACAGAGCGAGGCGGGGCACTGCCCACGGAGGCGTGCCGTTCCTTTAAGGGTGGCTGGTGGCGCGTGTCCCTCGTCAGGCTATCCGTCAGTCAGACTCGGACAGACTAACTGCTGGGCTGCTGCTATGCTGACCGCTCCCCAGTCCGGCGAAAGGGTAAACATTACGGTGGACAGTGGGAAAATGTTGCGTAGGTATTTCATGCGCTTTGTCAAATTTGTCAAATGAACTAAGGTAGTATTCTTAAAATCACCGGGCTGTTAGCCTACTTGTTATTTAGTTTGATTTTTCCTGTCACCCTTCAATTACAATAAAAATTTGAGATGTTTGATTTAAGTTAAAAATTGACGGTTCTCGATTGTTGTTAGGTTGTACACCCTCAACTATATTGCCCTTTTTTATGAACAAAATGTTTTTGTTGACAACAGCGAAAAAAAAAGTTGGTACCTGATAACAATTTCGTTGTTACCTTACGGTTGCCTAAAATTATCTATAGCAAGAAACGAAAACCTCGGCAAGAAATCTGGGAGTGTAGATATTTTTTTTTTCAGCGACATTCATCCTACTCCAGACCCACGGTGTGTACACGTATGTTGAGGAGATACGTCCCTATCGTACAACCCCCCCTCCCCTTCAATCCACTAACGTACTCCGTGATGCGAGATGCGAGGCTTCGGCCGTCACCAGCAGGCCCCCCGCTGAGCCGCTGCGCCGCCGCCGACTGACGGCTTCTCCCGTCGTCACAGGGCGCCTGCAGCGCGCGGGGTAGGCAAGCCCGTCGTACCGCGGCACCGAGCCCGCGGCCTACCCCCCCACCCGCAGGCGCTGACGTGTAGGTGGGTGAGGTCACACGTCTGCAGCCGCACTTATACACTCGCGAATCCAAAAGTGCACCGGATATAACCCACGCTGGAAAATCGAGTGTGATACTGTCTAACATTTATAAGTGTGATGGTTGTACTTATAACTGTTGGACAGTATCGGGAAATTCACTATTTTTCTCCATGAACTTTACCAATGGGGTGGGGCGAGGAGGAGAGTGGGAGTGACCAGCCTGGCGCATTGGGGCCCCCGGTGCCGTGATTGGAACCCCGATAATCACTAGATAATTCGACCCTGGAGAAGACCTTCGGCTCACCCCCTGCTGTACCGGAACCCACGGGCACCCGGCCGACGAGGCTGACCTGTTGTGCGTCACGGGTCAAGGCCGGGTCGGCGTGAACTGCGGTGAGAGACACCGCGGTCACTTACTTTCATTTCTCAACATTGCATAAGTGTAGCTAAATGTCACGTTTATGTGGGTTTTTGTAAAAAGTATACCTAAAGTCTCGCAGATTTGCACTGCTACACTTTGCTTAAAGTATACTTTTTGTATACTTCAAGTATACTTTTGAAACACGTTGGCCGATCACATTTTATTTACTTCTAATGCCGAAGCACAAAACAATTCTTTTAATGCTATTAAGAGAAGCCACACCCCCAGCCACACCCCAAAAGAGGTTCTGGAATCAAGTTAATATACTTGGAACGAGTCAATTTTCTGGCACAGGTATAGGGAATTGACTTGTCCCAAAGATATTTAGTTGATTCAAGAACCTCCTTGTTTTGGTGCACAAAAATTGGCTTACGTTACACAATTCAAAAACATATTTTTTGAACCGTTAACATCCACGCGGGCGAAGAAAAACCTTCCACAAAACAATTATCAGTCATTGGTTATTGCCTCGCGATTTCACAGCCACGACTCGCAACTTTGAACCTGTTTTTTTGTTTCCGATTGCGGAATAGGCCGGCGCTGAACCCATCCTCGCAACGGGGATGCCCTGCTCAGTGGCGCTCCGATTGAAAAGTTAACACAGCGCGTCGCGCTTCGCCGTCGTTCTCATCGTCTGAAAGGGAGCGGCAAAGAGAGAGAGAGAGAGAGAGAGAGAGAGAGAGAGAGAGAGAGAGAGA